ACACGTCACTTTGTTATCAAAGAACCAGGGATTACGTTAAGTAACCCAACGTTATTTGATGATGACGACCACTGCTCTGCAGCATAATTTTTACAAGTATAACCAAAATGACAGATTAGACAATGAACTAGGAGTCTAAATATATCTACATCTAATTATATGTGAACTAAACATCCTAAATGTTTATTATTTGTTGAACTTATGCATGAAAAATTCTATAAAAATAAAAATTATATTTTTTATTGGCAGAAAAAACTGACAAATAATGTAAAAATTTCAGCAAAGAAGAGCCACCGGTAGATCCTTCATCCAAGATGGATGAAAGTTCATGGCAGTACAGGAGGTGAATTCCTTCTTTATTGTCCACGGAGCTCCTCAAAGATCTCATGTTCTCTGACCTTATAAAGTAAGGTTCTTCATTAAGCTATGATGAAGCTGACTCAGAGGAGAGCGCTCTCTATTTTTTAACCCTTCAAGGTTGATGCTGATCAGCCTCTGCAATCAGAATTTGTCAATTCCTGACATATAACAGGCAGAGGATAATGAAATTATCATCCTAACTGAAACACATCAGGAACTATTTGTTTTTCCAGAAAACTAATTTAGCTTTTAACACAGGGTTAGGGAGCTGGAGTAGGGGTGGGGTCATTACTGATGACTTACAGGGTAACAAGCTGTGCTTCAGGATTCGATAGGAAGGTGCGGGACACTAGAGATGCCAGTAGGGGGCGTGGTTTGACCAGTTAACTGAGGCAGGTGAAGCTGAAGGTGTGGATAGGAGCATGCTGACCTCAGGGAGCATTCAGACAGGTTTTTGATATGATCACATATAAAAAAAAGTTTTTAAAGGAATCAGAGGCAAAGGGATAAAAGGTGTCCCAGTTGATCTTGTACACATCAGACTGAATTTTACAGTTAAAACGATTCAAGGGCTTCGGCTGAGGGAGGTGACTCTGAAGCTCTGCACCAGGGTTGCCTCCTTTAGAAGAGGACACAAGGATACAAGAGGACTTCCTGTTCTTTTTTAATGAAATGACAGGAAGTTAATTACATCCCATAGTGCATAGCAACCACTGTTAAACTGTTTATCGGAACCAGGTATGTTCGAATTGATTTAATTTTGAAACCAGTCAAACTTGTCTTTTATTCATCAAGCCTTCAAATTTCTGAACATGACCAATACACAGGTTCCCAAATTAGTGTCCAAAACCTGCGTAATATGTAACAGAGAGTGACAGCATCTGCATATTGTGTGCCAATGTCTTCTGTTTTTTATGTGGCGTATACAAAAGGCAGGTCCTCATCTTTGGCCTTTAGAGGTCTCCACAGCAGAACATCTGCCTCCATCACCCAGTTCCTAACATCCTCCTCTATCACACCAGTCCTTTCCGTGACCTCTTTCAGGGCTTTTACATTCTCCTCATAAATGATCCTGATTGTTTTTTTGTTTTGTTTTTTTTAATTAAAAGAATCAAACTTTTAAAACAAACAAACAGAAGGAAATAAACTCAATGAAGGCTCAGGACTGCAGAGCTCCTCAAACATTATTCGATGAACAGAAAGCAGAGACAGAAAAATGTCTTCTTTGGTTCATTTTTATTTCTTTAGGGCAACAATAACAACAGCAGATTTCCCACCATGGATGAAATGCATGTTTACTGTCATAAACCCAATTGCATGAATCATATGAAGACCAAATTGACACATCTGTGAAAACGTCTCAGAAAAGGTCAAAGTTAATTCTGATTATCTACCGGATATAAAAATAACATTAAAACTTTGTTATTCAACAACAAAGGTCATAAATTTTGACTTGGAATTGTAAATATATTGTTGCTGTAAGTATTTTTGCTTACAGCAAACCTTCAAATGTGTTTTCAGACAAGTGTTCAGCGACACCTCAGACTTTTGAATACATCTAAAACTGAAAACCCACAAAGTTTTGCGTGAAAACAAACATCATCTGTTCCAGTTTTTAAGGAGGCTGCGAGTGTCATGTGTTTCAGTACGTCTCACAGGTACTTGAGACTTGAATGTAAAATTCTGGAAAAATGACCAACAGCAACATGAGCAGTTTACTTTCACAGGAAATTCAAATTTTCCCTTTCAGAGTTAGTGCTGCTGACTTCCTCTGATTCAGCCTCATCTTTTATGACCTGGCTGTGAATAAAACATTTTAAAAAAGGCCCTAAAGGTTAAGGCGCGGCACACAATGGCCACGATTTGACTCCTGGTAGCAGGAAACTCTTTGGGGGTCTGCCTCTCTGTGACAATTTGGTATTAGTTTACTCATTTCATGTTTGACGTGCATGAACCTATACATGAAACCACCATGTATGATTAAGGGCAGTGGCAGCATCCTTTATCACTCATTTGTACAACACATTAACACATTTCAGAAAAAGCTGTAACTCCAGAGTGCAGTGTTTACTGCATTGTTTAAAGCCCACAGTTTTTTTTTATTAAAACGGCTAAAGAACTGATCGGGTGTCAAAACTGAGATCGCTTTGTGAAAGCATAATTTTGAATAATCATACTCGTCAGTTATTTGGGAACCAAGGAGACTGGCTGCTTCAGCTTTAAAGCACAAAATCTTTTGAAGTTCTTTTGGTGTCATGAAGCTCCAGATGTTAAAGTGGGTGATGGATGCGACTGTTCTCAGGTGAGTTATGGAGCCATGCAGCTGGAATGTGAGGGAAAAATGTAAACCCCACAGTTAGGTGGTGGATTTGAATTCTGGGCCTTGTTGGTGTGAGGCAACACTGCTAACCATGACTCCATGGTGGTAAATGGTAAATGGCCTGCATTTGTATAGCGCTTTTCTAGTCCATAGGACCCCAAAGCGCTTTACACTACATTCAGTCATTCACCCATTCACACACACAGGCGATGGCAAGCTACATTGTAGCCACAGCTGCCCTGGGGCGCACTGACAGAGGTGAGGCTGCCGGACACTGGTGCCACCGGGCCCTCTGACCACCACCAGTAGGCAAACATGGGGTTAGTATCTTGCCCAAGGATATTTGGCATGCAGCCAGGATGCAGCCTGGGATCGAACCACCAACCTTCTGATTAGTGGCTGACCTGCTCTGCCACCTGAGCTACAGCCACCTGGTGCTGCCTGTTCTTTTCATAAATGTTGGAGCAGTGCAGTTTTACGCCTAGAATGGTGCACTGGTTTTCTTCTGCTGCTATTATTGCTGTGCAGCATATCTATCTCCTAACATTCTTTACTAATAATAATTAGTATATACAAATTTGTCTTACAGGTAAATATGATGAGATGGCGAGTAAATGCACCAAAATTTCCTTCTGATGTGCACTGGTGGGCATTCTGAATGAAAATAAAGTGGCTATTCTATTCTATTTTATTCTACAGGGTGGGCCATTTATATGGATACACCGTAATAAAATGGGAATGGTTGGTGATATTAAAGTCCTGTTTGTGGCACATTAGTATATGTGAGGGGGCAAACTCCTCAAGATGGGTGGTGAGCATGGTGACTATTTAGAAGTCGGCCATCTTGGATACAATTTTTGTTTTTTCAATAGGAAGAGGGCCATGTGACACATCAAACTTATTGGTAATGTCACAAGAAAAACAATGGTGTGCTTGGTTTCAACGTAACTTTATTCTTTCATGAGTTATTTACAAGTTTCTCTTTGTTCACAGCCATTGACATGTCGAAGAGGTTAACACGTGAGGAGCGGATCGAAATTGTGTTAATATCTGGTGAACGCAGTAACTGGGTCATTGCAGCAGATTTCAATGCAAGACACCCTACGAGACCACCCATCTCCCATGCTACAGTTATACAGTTAGCAAACTGCTTGCTCGTGAAACTGGTTCAGTGTTGGATTTGCCAAAATGTGGACGCAAGAAAACTGTCACTAATGAAGAAACATCAGTGGCTGTCCTAGCTTCATTCAGCAAGAGCCCACAGCGTAGCACTCGCCGCATGTCACTGGAGAGTGGCATTAGTCGAACATCCCTTCGGCAGATATTAGCACTCACAAATGGCACCCTTACAAACTCCAGCTACTGCAGTATGTCAATGAGGATGACCCAGATCGGTGCACAGAATTTGCAGAATGGGCAAAAGAAAAATTGGAACAGGACCCTCAGTTCACGCAAAAGATTTTGTTCAGTGATGAGGCAAACTTTTATGTGAATGGTGAAGTTAACAAACAAAACCACCGCTATTGGTCTGACACTAACCCACATTGGATGGATTCCTCCAAGACTGTTGGAACAACAAAAGTGATGGTTTGGTGTGGTATATGGGGTACAACGCTAGTGGGTCCATTCTTCACTAATGGAAACCTCAAGGCCACTGGATATTTGAAATTGCTACATGATGATGTGTTTCCCTCTTTATGCACTGAAGCTGGCACGTTCCCTGAGTTTTTCCAGCAAGATGGTGCACCACCACATTATGGGTGCCAGGTCCGAGCATTCCTAGATGAACAGTTTCCTGGAAAGTGGATTGGTCATCGTGGGCCAGTTGAAGGGCCCCCAAGGTCTCCCGATCTGACCCCCTTAGACTTTTATCTTTGGGGTCATCTGAAGGCAATTGTCTATGGTGTGAAGATACGAGATGTGCAGCACCTGAAACTGATACTGGATGCCTGTGCTGGCATTTTTCCTGCGGTGTTGCTATCAGTGTGTGAAGAGTGGGAGAAGAGGGTTGCATTGACAGTCCAACACAATGGGCAGCACACTGAACACACATCAGAAACTTGTAAATAACTCATGAAAGAATAAAGTTACGTTGAAACCAAGCACACCATTGTTTTTCTTGTGACATTACCAATAAGTTTGATGTGTCACATGGCCCTCTTCCTATTGAAAAAACAAAAGTTGTTTCCAAGAAGGCCAACTTCTAAATGGCCACCATGCTCACCACCCATCTTGAGGAGTTTGCCCCCTCACATATACTAATGTGCCACAAACAGGACTTTAATATCACCAACCATTCCCATTTTATTACGGTGTATCCATATAAATGGCCCACCCTGTACTTGTACTGTTTTCAGGCTTTAACTGATGGGCTGTTGATTTTTTTTTCAGTGATCAGACTTCTTTGGAGAATGGTAAAAATTAAAAATGCAATCAAAGACCCAAAGGTACCAGTTCATGGCTTTGTAATTTACTTCAAGTATAAAAAATAACTCCTCTTATCATATAAAAAAAATCACAAAGAGTTCATTTATAAACCTGTCATCAAGGTGAAACCTATTCAAACTCACGTATCTGAAGGCAGAAGACCTTGTTGGTCCATAAATCTGAGAGCTCTAAGGACTCAGCAGGTAAAGTTTAGCCACTGTTCCGAACTTGTTTCGATCAAACAATCAAGTTTTTGTTCTTGTCTCTGGGACGAAGCTAAACGTGTCAGATCCACTTGATTCACTCTGCATCCTGGAGAATGAAGTGATTTCTATCCCGAGTCAAAAGCATCTTTGGAACAGCTCATTCCTTCTGCTGTCCATGACTCCACAGGCTGGAGGCTAGCTGGTCACGAGGACCTGGACCTGCTATGATGGCAGTTCCTCCTCTGCAGCAGCAGTCGGGACATTGATGTTTGGGTCGTCGTCAACCTGGTAACACTTTCCCAGGTTCTTAATAATGTTAAAGTTGGACCGGGCCGTTTCTGCCAGGCTGTTTTCCAAAATCCAACCATCTGATTCCGACTCTGGATCACCCAGCCGGAGAACGTTCTCCATGGCCGTCTGCAGATAACGGACACCTGTCAGAACCAGCAGCTGGTGAAAAAAGGAAATACAGTATGTTTAATCGAGTTTAGACTTCAGTCACAGTGGAGACCACAGTGTGACCAGAAGTATTGTGACTGTGTGCCCCCATCTTGTGATCTCCCTGCCTTTAACATGGTTGCTTTTAAGACACTGAAACTGCTCAGTGTTAAATCTGCAATAAGAGTGTTAGTCTGCTATGGGGATCTTGATTGGATGGGGTCAAGCTGACACTTTTGGTCCCACCTTTTGTAATAATCCAGTGATTAAGGGTGGTAAAACGGTGTGCACATCAGACTGGTATTACTGTACGAAGCTAGGGTCAGACCACATGCTCTCACCCACAGAATGAGCCGAATGTAAATGTGACAAATTTATCATTTATAAACATATAAACACACAAGAGCAGTCAGTTCATTTTATTAACCATGAGCAGTGTTAATCTGTGGCTCAAAAAAAAGGGTATAAGAAACACACTCAGTGCAAGCTCGGGATTTACTTCTGTTTTTCTCCAAAAACAACGAGATGAGGCTGAAGGAGGATCAATATGCTCATGATATCAGGGAGAACTCTGCTGATATAAGCTGCTGGGACTGTGCAAGGTCCTGAGATCTAAGTCTCAGGTGAAGCTCAGGATTTATCCAAAAGAGCTGCATGATCACTAAATGAAAGTTGTGTAGAACAGCTGACCTGTGAGGTGAACATTATTTACTGTCGGATCCTAAGGCATCCCTGAGTTCATCAAGGTACTCTTGTTGCTCACATCATTTTTTCTGCAGTGATGGAAACTGAATTGGAGTTCTGTACCCAGGCTCTTGTCTCACATCCGCAGTTAGAAAAGTGCCATGAGGGTGTCTCTGAAAAAACGCTACAGGAATCGTTTGGTGGCTTTCCAGCTGATGCTCGAGCTCCTGTGATAGGCCAATAGAGAGGAAAAGACACTCTCTATTGGTGCTGCTCCACTTCCTCACTTTCATTGTTGGACTCTACCAGCGCAGCTATGCATGAGCCAGAGTACAAAATGATCCATCTTCATCTGATACAAGGCCGTCATCTTCCGAAACCAGCTGATTTACATTCTGTTACTTTAATAGGCCCTCACATTCTTTGGATTAGATTAGTTTATATTTGATTTGCATGTTTACCTCAATATTTGAAAATTTAGCCACATTTAGTGAACATCTGAGATTAGATCATGGCATATATCACAGAAAGTGAGTCTCCTTTAAAACCACAGAGGTCCACGATGGTGGCTTTGCAGATCTTATTGGGGTTTTAAAAAATCTCTTTTTATGGAGCTGATTTGTAAACCTCTGTGCTTTCACTTCTGTTCTGTATGAACCGACGGTTCTAGTTTCAGCAAAATCACCAGTACCTCAAAAAGCCAGATGAGCAGCACGGTGAGGCCAATCGACTGCATGATGCCGGTGTAGTGGTCTAGCAGGGCCTGTCGGCAGCCCCGCCTCCACAGGTTCAGCTGCTGGCTTTGCTTGTCTTGGGTCGAGCTGGTGCTGAGATGCTGCTGGATGCAGGGCCAAGGGGAGAAGGTGCTGCAGCAGCTAAAGGGAACACCATCCATCAGGTACTTCCCCTCCACATTACTCCTCATACGACTGAAAGGGAGGAACAGGAACTGTTGCTACTGCATGCAGAGCAGTTAGTCAGTCAATCGTTTCACTAGCTGGGCCCACTTCCTCATTTTAGGTTTGGCAGCACTTTTTAGTAGATAAAGGCAAATGGCTTAATCAAGAATTGAGCTAAGGTTTGGGGAAGGCCTCGATTGAGACTGTCGGTGTCAGGGCTCTGTGTGCGGGCAGGTGGAGATGTGGATCCAAGTGCAGGACTCTCAGATGGAAATATAACTGAAAACCACAGCTTTATTGCTGGCACCAACAAAACAGAAACCAAACATGAACACACTAACTGGAACACACAGGCAGAATCTGAGGGTACGACACGACACTGAGCACAGGAAAACACAGGGCTAATATACACAGGGTGGTAATCAGCGAATGGGCAACAGGAGGGAGACACAGCTGGGAATTAAATTCAATACATGTTGCAGCTGTTTCTAAGTGATGTTTGTATGCTGTTTGTGGAGTCATGATCTTCCAAGGGATCTCATGATCAAATTTAAAGAAACTAAAGGTGCAGAAACAATTATCACATGTTTTTATCAGAATGATTGATAAAGTTTCTGTCATTGCTAACTTATAACTTATGTTTAATAAGTTATCTGAAGTTATTTGACTGGACCCTATTGGTTAATCCTAATTAATCTATGACACCTGACCTCTGTAGCGTACAGGCTTAACTGCATTAGACCAGTGGCCTAAATCCTTCAGGGGTCAGTCTGCTTACTGTCTGTTGGAAGAGAAACACCCACATTTCCACATAGGTGTTCTATAAACAGGCCTTCAGTTAGAAATAATAAAGTCAGGGGAAGCAGTGTGAACTGTGTGAACAACTCACACTGCTGGTAAATAAAAGACTAACTAAACAGACACACAATCAGTCAATGCAGCATCTAATGAAACTTTATTTAAAAGTTGCAGTCGGTCATTTTTAGAAGTTTTTAATAGAAAAAAAGTCTTCATAAATATATACTGATTAATGCGTAATTCCGTCTTCCAACAAGCTGATGCCCTCTGACTCCTCTGACTCATCGACTCTTATCAGACTCTCTTCCAGAGTAAATGGACCTAGACACCGCCGTGTTGCCCTGCCATCTTGAATGCAGTGGCTAAGAATGACATGGCCGTCCCACCTGCATGATGACAATGGAACAGACCTGCCACATAGTACCACAGTTACATTTAATTTATAGATCACAAACAAATAAATGTCTTTTTCCTCATCCCTTATCTCCACCTCATCCCTCTTCCTCCTCACCACAAACTGTATCTTGCTAATTAAAGCCAGGGCTCTGACACATAAAAATGTGCACGAACACACTTATTTATTCCTAAAATTGTCATCCGACTAAACAACAACAACAACAGCCGGTTATAAACCAACATTAAAACAAATGTCCCAAAAATCAAACAGTTTGATTATATTCTCATATGGTATGAGAGTTTATTTGCTAAGTCTCCAAGCCTGAAAACATTAGATCAGCCTTGAAGAAAGTTTCCCAAACACCAGCTAACAGAGGCTAACAGCAGCATTTACCGACAGAAATGTTCAGCAGATCTTCAGCAACTCACCTCAGTATCACAAGTGAGCTCCTCTGACTCATCGACTCTTATCAGACTCTCTTCCAGAGTAAATGGACCTGGACACCAACAGCTGAGATAACAGCAGACTACACTCACTACAACTAATGGACAGCCAGAGGTGTTTGTCCTACAGCAGCCACCACAGCTAGGATTATGCACTAAATAAATTGTGAGGGGTAAGAAAAAAGACCTCAGTTCAATCTGCTATCTACTGACATCTAGACTAATATTTTACATATTTTGAACTCTTAATGTACTATCTGATGTAATTTCTAAGATTTTCTACAGTGAAAGGGTTTGTGGAAAGTGTTACGTTATGTTTTGCACTAATACTGGGGGTTTTTCTGACAGACACCTTTAGGCGGGGTGTAGTTTTTAACCTGGTGCGCTTTGGTCTGATACACTCTACTGAAGGACCCTGTACCTGCTACCATATGATGCACATGGTAATTCACATGGTAATTCACAGTAATCAACAAACCCAGAAAGACTCAGCATGTCCTGCTCAACTTACTCTACCACAGCACTGCTGCTCATGTCCAGGTAGCGGCTGCTGATCCACTGGATGTGGAACCAGTCTCGGTATCCTGTGTTCCCACAGCACTGGAACTGGATCTGCAATAGGTCCACAGTTCTCTTCAGGTTGCAGCGGCCCGGAGTGTCTGTGTCTTTATAGTATCGCATGGCATTCCTCAGGCCCATAAACAGGGATTCCTCCATTTGACTGCGAATGCCGTAGCACATGAGCGCCCCTGCCAGGACGCAAGAGGTGAAGAAGAAGGTGCATATGATGTACGGCATCATCACCAGCTTCCAGCGCAGGAACTTGTTGGTGTCGGCACAGTCCAGGCAGATCTTGCCACCGAAAAAGTTGATGCAGCAGGCTGCTAGTCCTGTGGTGATCAGCATATGTGGCACATAGAGGATTCCCTGCTCCGACATCACTTCTTGCCATTTGTGAATCTCTACTCTGAGGAATAAGCCAAGGCCAAAGAGGATAGTTCCTGTCACTACAGAAATCCAATTAAGCAGCCAGAGAACCTCAGCTAGCTTCTCTCTCTCCACCTTGCTAAATGTCACCTTCCCAACTGCCATGACCGTTCTCAGGTTTCTGAGTGACTCACGGCTAAGAAGCTGCTAACATGGCCAAAAGGTTGCCACCCTCAGTGTGCATGAACACTTTTGACCACAAGGTGCTGCATAACAATCTACTGTCAGGCTGTCTGAGCTAAAAAGTTTATGTTCTACATAACAACATGACAGCATATTGTTTGTGCATATGCCTTTTTGTTTCAATACTGAAACTTGTTTACAAATTAATATAATTTTAAGCCACCAAATTCATCATTCTCACTTCATTTGCTCACAGCTAAAGCTTCTAAAGGCCCACCGACTGAAATATTTAAGGTTGCACTTTTCATGAATATCAATCATTTATGATTGTTAAATGATTGATAAAACACAGAAAAACACAACAGGAGATAAGATGTACCACAATGTAAGGAGTGTTTTGTAAATCAATTGTGAGCGTGAATATGTAAAGACGAAGGCACAGAGCAATCAGGCTTTTTAGAAGCTGGTTGTGTGCACTCTGACTGGTTTCGAATCAGGCCTTCATTTCATCTCTTCGAAATAAGAAAAACTTCCCTTTGGACAAACAGTTCTGAGAACTAGTCTAAACTAAGGTGTTTGGATCTTGCTGTCATGAACCATCAGGCAGATGGGGTATGGTGGCTCAATTGTGAAGTCCACACAGGTGCGAGAGGTTCAGAGGTCAGAGGTCAGGCTTCAGTGTGGACTTTTCTTTAAATGAAAGCTGCAGGATGGAGCAGGAAGGAGGCTGCTGCCCGCTGAGTGTCATAAGCAGCTTACAGAGATATTTTAGGCACTCCTGACTGCAGACCACAACTTGACATGATCAGCATTAGAGCACTGCGGGGAAGAAAGAAGGTCAGTTTATCAAAACTGGCACAAATACTAAGAACCACCATCATCAGAATCCCAGCTGTGTGATTCCCAGAGGATTAAGAATCATATAGACACACCCATTAGCGTTGACTTAGATGAAATAACTCCAACTTAGGTCTAACTGATGCTTTTACACTGCACAAACAAAGACAGATGTAAACATCTACTAATCCAAATGTTCTTTCTTTTGTCTGCCGAGGTCCATGAATGCTTTCCAAAGCATAAGACTATACATTTCTACAACATGCACGAACTGAAGGCATTTTTTTTCTTTTCATTATTATAAATCAGAGGAAAGTGCAAAGATGAGACGAGCTAAGGATGCTAGCTGTCAGGCAGCACATATACACTTATCCAATCAGCCAATACTATGCCCACAATACAACACATGGCAAAATCTTTACCTTGGGTAGTGAAATCTAACACCTGCTGCTAGTCCATTGTCGTGCTGATCTCCCGCTATCCCGGAGCAAGGTGAGCTCTGACACAAAGCAAATATTGAAGCTGAGAAGAGCAATTTTGAAGTGCCTGTTAACTCACCATCCTGTACTTCTAATCCCCTTACAGATAATCAGCTGTAATAAGCTGACACAATCTCCAACCCTCGACTCACCAGCTAGGCCTTCAGCAGAAAGACACATCCACTCTTTAAATCATGCTGATCTGAACATATTGCAAGAGTATATTAGGAGGGAGGGGGAGAGCAGATGATGGAGTAGAGATGAGGTGGATGGGGTCAGTTAAGCTCCTGTGGAAAAGATAGGAGAAGGGAGTGTATACGGTAGTGACATATTTCTTAATAATTAAGTGGTTTAACCCTATTTGCTAATATTATTTAATTCAACATGTTTTACACATAATCACCTGTTATTTGTGAGGGATGGACACGTTTGGGGATAGTTGGGATGACGTGTTGCTTCAAGTTATATTCATTCAGAAAGTTTAAAGCTTTTCAGTTTCTTTGTACAAGTGGTTGTATTCCTCTAATATCCAATCTTTTTCTGTGAAACTCCACAACAGCATGAAATTAGGAAATTCAAGGACTCCGTGCTGTGCAACTTGTAGACTTTCCTAACAGAAATTTGTGTCATGAACATAACTGTCACTATCAGTTTTCAGTCATCCTATTTTGTTTTATTTTAACTGCAACCAAACAGAAGACAGCATTGACTGTAGCAAGCACAACTATCAGCATCCTCATGTACAGACATGTGTAGACATATGCTCCAAATCATAATCCCCAGAGTTTCTCCTTTAGTCAGCGATCTCTCTGACTAAAGGAGAAATTGCGCGAAGCACCTAAATAAACACATGAACTCAGATTCACATCACTGCATCTCAGTTTATTGACGTACTGCAAAGCATACATGATATGAAGATAGCCTGTTACATTAACTGCAGGTAAAAGATGCTGAAGAAATACATGCACAGTGAGAGAAATATGTTTATTCAAGGCTGATTAAAAGGAAGCAAGCTGATCAAAGCCTTTACTACAGACTAACAAAACAAAGCATTTAATGATGTAAGCACACGCCATCAGTACCTTCAGTGAGAATCTGTAGAATGTAGAAAAGTCACTGGTTTATACAAGCACAATAACATGAACACAAATGATGTTTTTGGCTTAAGTCATTCTGAAAACTTGGTTAACTGTAAAAAGGAGAAAAATATTAACTCTTCCCAACCCAAAAATTACAGGTACCGTTAGGGTTCTTTGAATTAATAGATTTGAATAACCCACTAAGTAAGTAAGTAAAACTTTATTTTTATAGCACTTTTCACAGACAGATGTCACAAAGTGCTTCACGAGAGAGGTAACAAAAACACAATACAATCATAAATACATCGTAAACGCCCCGCTCTAATTAAAGGTATGACACCACAATATCACTGTAAAAACTACACCTTCATTACTATGATTTTTAAGGTTCATTGATAAAAACTTTCTCCAACACAAACTATTGAAGAACTGAGATTTCTGCCACACTGTGAAATAAAAAAGGCTGGAGAGTCTAACATGAATAATTAAGAGGCTTTTAGAAATCTTTACTGTCTATGAATCCAGGTGTTAGCTATAGAAATGCACAGCAACTGACCAGTATAACCATAAATTTTATCCACACTGGTGAATGCACCATCTGTTTTTCATATGTGACTTGATCTATTATTATAGGTCATCGATCTGTCCATGTCATTCAGGCAGAGACCATGCTGTGGAGACACTCTATGTAGACCCACAGCATCTTCTCACACAGTATAACACACAAAAATAAAATAGAATAAAAATGAAATAGAATATAAAAACAGTAAAACGTGGCAAAAAAAAAGTTTCACATCTGTTTTAATAGATTTTAACAGAATATCCTGAGACGTCAGAATGAAAGTAGACCAGTTACTTTCTGGCCGTTGTCCACTTCTAGCCGCCTGTGCCTCAATTTTATTCTGCAACCTAGACATCCACATTACTCACACTCTCACATAACACATACATATAGGGCCTTGGGGGTGGGCATGTTTTACAGCATCCAGAGGATGGTCGGTGTATTCCAACCCACTTCTGGCACTGGTGCCCTACCCTCAATTTTAAATGCATATAGACACTAAGGGTTTTCGGGAGGAGCCGTGCTGCTCTCTGAGAGGAAGCAAGTACCATGCTCTCCTGTGTTTTAAATGCACTTTAGAACAGCACACAGCAACACTACATATGAGCGGGCGTAGGGAGGTTTGGGGTCTTCACTCACCCCGGTTCTGTTAGCCGTCAGGGCTGGGGGGCTGGGAGGAGGTGCTGGCCATCAGATTGGGGTCTGGGATGCGGGGCCTCCCTGCTACTGCAGATAAGGAGGTGGTCCGCTTGCCTCCATCCCAGAGAGAAGGGTTACATCTCCTGGGTTTAGGTGCGGCTTGCCCCTCTGGGGGCGGGGGTACCTGGACCTGGGATATAGAGTATGTTTGGGGAGTGCGACTGTCTGTGCAGTGTCTATTTGTGTCTGTCTACACGTTGGGTGAGTGCCGAGTATTTGGTTGTGCATATGGGGGTGGGAATGCATGTTTGTGTCCGCGTGCGCCTGTTCGTCTGTGTCTATATGTCAGGTTGGGTCTTAGACTCAACCTCTCTGGGTACATCTCAGGCCCTCCAAAGTACGGAGGCCTATCTCCCCTCACCACACCCCCTGCCGGTGGCAGATGCCCTCAGACATTGGTGTGTTGGTGGTCCTTGTTGTCTTGGGCTGGTCGCTCATTTATGTACCGGCTCACTCCTGGAGGCCGATTGGCGGGGCCTGGCGCCTGTGGCCCGCCTGGGCCCCTTCCGGGGGATGGGATGCCCTCAGGCCTCTGGCCTCTGGGCCTGAAGCTCGGTCCTCTCTGGCACAGCTGGTTGCCGACAGAGCCCGTGGGCACGCCACTGCAACCCCCTCTGGCCTCTGCTCCGTAGCTGCTGGGTGACCTCTCGTTTGGGGCTCTACTCAGCTCTTCCCAGGAGGGTGGCACGGTTTCCCCCCTTTTGGTGGTCCTCCTCGGGTCCTTGTACTCTGGGGCCTCTGTATATATGGGGCCTGGATCTCCTCCATACCTGCTTCATACCCTGGTGGACGGGGCTGTGGCTCCCCACACTCCCTAGCAGATCGTTACATGGAGAAACCTTTGGAATACATGCATGCTGATCCACACAGGTATGCACACAGGTGTACACACGGGTGTTCACAGACGCGGACTACACCTTTCTTGGCTGCTGCCTCAAAGCACATTGTGCGCTGTCTATTTTGTGTGCTGCACAATAGCGTTTAATATTTAGTATCTTCTGTTATCTACTGCTAGCTAGTTTATTGTGATGGCGCTGTTTTTATTATGTTGCTCTTTTTTTGTTTGCTTTCTCTTCTGTTTTTTTTTTCTCTAGACAGGTAATCCAGGTGTTTTGTTTGTTTTTCTTTCTTTCTTCCCCCCTTTCTCACCGTCTCTTCTCCCCTCTGGTTTTCTTTCTCTCCCTCTCTTTCTTTCATTCTTTCTCCCTGTTCTATCCCCCAGTCAGTGCAACCGAAAATAAAATAAATTCATAATTATAATAAAGGTCAATCAAATGGACCAATATGGCGAGGCCATGATGATCCACTTGGTAAAATAAATCCGCTTGGCATCTTTCTTGGCCTTAAGACAACAATTCTGATGGCTAAAGATCCAAATGGGACACACACACAAAAAAAGAAAGTAGACCAGTTAGGATTAGCATCACAGCCATCAAAGCCATCATAAAAAAAATATTTGTAAAAGCAGGGAGTCATTACATTTGTATGTTATAATGTACAGTACATTTCCTATGATAAACATGTGTATGGCGTTATTTTTATGCCACTATTCTGAGCGCACGTAAAAAACATTTGCAGGTGCAAGTGTTGCATTTTGAGGAGAAATTTATTTTGAACGAAGAAAAGCTAAATTTAAGTGAACAAAATTCATTGCTGCTTGCAAAAAATGTATTTCAGTGTTTGCTATTATCCATACACACACACAATAGCAGCCTCTCTCTCTCAGTTTTTGTATTTGCGCTTGCTCGCAAAACATTAGAGCACTTATGCAAATATGTGATGTCTTGATAAATCGAGCAGATATTTGAAGTTTACACAGCACCATTCTCGCATGAAAATATGTTAAAAGTTTATTTTGTGACCCAGAAAGAGTAATATTTCAAACTCCGCCACTCTGTGTTCCTCCGCCACTGCTTCGTTTGAGTTTTGGACGAAATGGATTCTGGAATATTGCATTTCGTCATTTTGAGCTGATTGGAGACCAAAACAGCCAATCAGATTTTTTTGCATCCACATCTGTGATTGGCTGGTTTTGTGGCACAAATATAACGGTGTACAGAAAGAGTTGAATGCGCACAGGCAGAAATGTTGAGAGTGCAAGCAACACATTGTAAGCAAGCGCAATTGCAAAAGCTGAGCGAGAGGCGCTGCTATTGTGTATGTGTATGGATAATAGCAAACACTGAAATGCATTTTTTGCACACAGCAATGAATTTTGTTCACTCAAATTTAGCTTTTCTTTGCTCAAAATAAATTTCTCCTCAAAATGCAACACTTGCACCTGCAAATTTTTTTCACGTGCGCTCAGAATAGTGGCACAAAAATAACACCATACATGTCTGTCAACTGCTGGCAAGTTTGTATTCACAGCCCCTTCCAATACTGTCATACATGTCTGCATGACCATGGGGTAAAAAAAAAACAAAAAACAAAAAACAGGATTACATTATTTTCAGCTCTTTGGTAGGACATTCATTCATTCACCACCAAACGTCTGGTGACCACCTCTCTGTTATGCAGAATCAGTAGGAGGGTAACTGCTACATGGTCCTTTGGTTTATAGTCTGTGGTGTGCAGAGTGAAAACCACCATCAGCAGTAGATTGCAGTCAGGAGCAGACTCTCTCCTACAACTCACACAGAGATGCAGTGGACTCATATGACCAGAACCCAAACCCGAACCCAAAGGCAGGGTAGACTGGTTCGGTGAATGTGGTGTGGAAGGTGTGCAGGAGGGACAGTTTTTCCGAGCAGACTCGGTAGAAGGACACAGTACCAGCAGGACAGTCCACATACACTGCTATTCTTTTAGGTAGAGTAGCACCATAGGGAAGATAGACAACATGTTCTCTCTTGTTGTGCCAAAAAGAATATTTCTCTTGAGTGCAGATTAGACTCCAGCACTGGTCATTCCACCCGAGCCTGCAGTCCGCACTGTTCCCTTTCCTGCTGATTCTTTTGTACGTCACTGCTATGACAACTTGCCCTTCCCTCTCCACCTCCCAGTAACAACGACCAGTCAGACCATTTTTACACAGCACCTGCCAGCAGCAGTAGTCAAACCTCTCTGGATGATTTGGATAGGGCTGTTCCTCTTTCACCACAGTCACCTTCTTGTTGTCGTCAGACAGTTTGAGGTTTCTGTGCGCTGTATTTGGATCCAGTTCAAGCCCACAGAAATCTGAAAGAAACAACAGCACAAAGTATTATTCTATCATCCAACCACAGACTCACAAAACAAATTTTTTTTTTTTTTTTTTTGGAGGTATAAGTGACCACATTTGAAGGTGGTTCGATACCCATCTGCTCCAGTCTGTGTGGCAATTTGCCAAGGGTATTTGCCAGTGTCAAATACCCTTGGGCAAGATACTAACCCCAAGTTGACCGATCAGAGTAAGAATATGTGTGAATGTTAGATAGGACTTACATAGAAAGAGCATAGAATATGTGGGAAAGATAGGGTAGAAAAGCACTGTTTAAGAACCAGTCCATTTACCATTTACACTGACACAGACATCTGCTATTTGGTGATATGTGAAATTACAATTCTAGAAATTCATTCATCAAAACTGGAGCTCATACTACTTGAACAGTGAGTTAGTAAAACTAACCACACAGCCGCCATATTATTTGTCAGATAATTGCATTAAAAATGCTGCAAAAGGCACAAACATAGCCAAAATATCCAGTTTACGGACTCCAATTAGCTGAAATGAATCCTAACAGACTATTGACCATGACTAAACAGTGAAGGAGGTCATGACCCTAATACTGCAAAGCTGGTTTTTGCAGATTAGTTCCTCTTTACATCATAGGAAAATTGAAATTTTAATATATGAATGTTTCTTACACTTCCTCAGACCAGGTTTCAGTCGCTGTTCTCCACAATGGTCCAACCTGAGGGAGGAAAAGTCGAAAAATAATTTATTTTCTCATTTATTTATTTCTACTGTTGAGTTTTTAATAATAATTTATTATTTAGGGCCCCATTTATGGAACGCCAGGACTGCCATAATGAATTAATTAAATACACCATTAAATAATTAATTAAATGTGGCAATA